GAACAATAAACGAGACATGGTAAACCTGTATTAATTTTTTTTTTACGTAATAGTCTTTGTTTGTGATTGCCAATAATTTTCCCTTTTATTTCCCTTTTTTCCTATTCTAAAAAGGATAAACATCGAGACTATCGATATCTCGAAAGTCTGCTACGCTTGTTCCTCATTGGTTGAGTCGCTTGAGGCGGCTAATTTGAATTTGGAACTCATTTTAATTAACAATTTTTAATCACGATTTTTATAATTACAGCGCGCTGTGGCGTGAGTTAGTTCTCGTAGAAGAAAAAGGTGAAGATTTGTTGTGACTAAATCCTCAGTAAATGGTGAGACCTTGACAAGAATGTCACCTGGTTGCTCAAGATGCCATAAAAGTACTTCGACAATAATTCGTTCGGATGTCCCTGAAACGAGAAGGAATTGCATAGGACCGGAACTCGTCGATAAGATAATTATTCATCATTATTACTCATTAATTGTCTGCAATTATTTCCAAAAGCAATCGCCGGGCAAAATAATTTCCACGAAGATCCAAATTCATTTTTTTCTTTATTTTTATTATCATATATAATATAATATATTATTATTTTTAAAGGTAGAGTGAGGGGTTATTAATTATAAAATATCGTGGCACAATGATTGCTGATTTCAAATGATTTCGGGGAATAATTGATTTCGAGTGACGTCAAGTGATTTCAAGTGATTTCAGGACTCATTTCATAAATAAATTACGCCTTGGGTAGAGTGCGGCAAAATGAATGGATATTAAAAGCGCAAATTTAATTCGTAAAATGAAAATCAATCATTTAATTACCTAGGGGATGGTTGTCAGAATAAATTATAGTGTGAAATGAGATTTTTATTATTCTTGAAATTGATGTAACGAAAAGAATGGATTCGTAACTAGAATGATGATTTTTTATTTTATTCCCTTGCAGACGCATCCTATTCGAAAAAGAACAGGCTTGACAATCGATTATCTCGAAAATCTCGAAATCATGAAGCCACAATTCCTTATTGGTCCACTTAAAGTGGTCCGAGATTACAAAGTCGTGAGTCTCTTACCGAAATCGTTTTATTCTTCCTATTCTAAAAGGGACACGCTTGACACAATCGATTATCTCGAAAATCTCGAAATCATGATTCGATCGAAGCTACAGTTCCTCATTGGTCCGCCTAGAGTAGCGCCAGATTACAAAGTCGTAACTTTCTTACATCCTATCCTAAAACGAACACGCTTGACACAATCGATTATCTCGAAAATCTCCAAATCATGATTGATCGAAGCCACAGTTCCTCATTGGTCCGCCTAAAGTGGCGCGAAATTTCAAAGTCATAACTCTCTTCCAGAAATCGCTTCATACTTCTCCCGGAATGAAGAAAAAATAAGGTGAGCCGATAGAAATTTTAATATTTAAATCAGAGGAAATAAAAAGAAGGCACTGATATTTTCTTGGAGATTAAAAAAGTTTATTAGATTCGAGAACGTTACGGTCGGTTGTTTTTTTCGTTTGCGCGCCAGAAATTCCCGGTCGATGATCACGCGAAATTAAACCCCGAGATTTTCACGGTAAAACGTCTATAACTCCCGTATTTCACTCCAGAAAATACACTGAACCGTTGAAAAATGTTAAATTCATTGTCCAACTCGGGGATTATATTATTCTATTGATCGGTCAATGACCTGGTGCTTCCAAAGAAATCGATCATGCCCTGAAACCAGACGACTGTTTCCACTTCTAGTATCTCAAGTATTTTTCTTATTCCTACATCATCAATTGCAGAATTTTCGCAATTGTTTATAAATTGTATTTTAAATTTAAAGTGAAAAAACTTGAAATTTTTAATACCCACGAAAAATTATCGGGGAAATTCTCTGATTCCGTATTTTCAGAAGAAAATTTAAACTTTTTGTGAAAATTATCAATAACAATTATAATATTATTGATTATCAGGGTATCAATAATTAATTAATTAGCATTCAACTGTTGGTGTGAAATAAAGGGAAACATTTGTAACGTCGAAGTAAATAAATTGGATAATTATTACTTAACAAAAAAGCCAAATGTTCATGAATTTTAAGTAGCATCATAAATAAAGTTATTGTTTTTAATTAGAATTTAATTGCAACTCGCGTGATTGAAAGTTTAGATTTCTAGCAGGGAATTTGTTCATGCAAAAATATATCTGAACACAATAATATCTTGGCAATTTTCTTCACCTGCTCAAGGAATAATTAATTGAGAAAATTAAATCTGTAATTTTCAGATTGAAGTCCGGAAAAAATGGAAATTAATGAATTAATAACAAAAATTGAATTGATTTAAAATTGATCTGAAGACAAAAAGGGAAAATGGAGAAAAGAAAACCCTTTGTTTTGATTTTTTAATAAAAGATAACAATTAAAAAAATAATAATAATAATTATCAAAGTACAACAAAATCGGAACTTCAATATTTTCCGGGGAAATTACAATTGAATTTACTCCATGACAATTAAATAATAAAAAGTAATTAAATACAGAATGAAAAATTAAAAAGCTATAACTTAAAAAAAATAGAGAAAAAAAAACGTTTCGATGTGATTTTCGAATAAGAGAATATCAATTAATAAATAATAATAATTTTGTGTTTCAAGATGAAACAGAATAGAAAATTCAATAATAATTTTAGAGAAATAATAAATATATAGAAAATTATAAACAAATATATAGGAATAATTGGTCAATATTTAAAAGAATGTTAGTTAAGGATCTAAAATTATATTGACACTCTAATTGAATCTTAAAAGTCGAGATCTCAACAGTAAAGAATAATTGAAATAATAAAAAAAACCCCAGAACAATTAAAATTTCAAAAATCTTACGAATGAAAATAAAAGAAAAAATCTCTGTTAAATTGTCAATGTAAAACAGAATAGAATAATAAATTCGAGTAGATGATCACGTGAGACGCAACTTACTTTAGATGTCCCTTTAAAAATCAAAGTGCATAATCCCTGGCAATTAGACAATGAGAATGAATGAATAAATCACTGGACTTGCTGTGTGAATTCGGAAAAATGAAGTTGATGAATTGATCCACAAAAACACTCACATCACAATTAAATAAATGCTGATAAACGCAAGCACGCGTCGGCCAAGTACCAAGTACCAAGTACCGTCTGGTTGTGAAGTCGCCAGTAAAGTTGTGTCGCACGCCGACTCTTTCCCCCACTTCGATATCTCGAAAATCCCCCTCCAACAAACTAGATTAACTCCATCTTTCTCCAACATGTGAGTCAAATAAAGACGGAATATAGTCGAATAGAAAAAAATATTGTATTAAAAAAAAAAAAACGGAGGAACAAATCGTGACGGTCACGGAGTACAAGCCGCTGGTCTAGTAAAAACCATTTTCTCTCCCGTTTTCATTCTATATTTTCCAAATACCGTTTTACGATTACAATTTTTTTTTTACAATTTGAGCATTACATCCTAAAAAAAATGCACTCTTCTCGAATGAATTTATTTTATAATTTTTTATCTTATTATTTTTTTTTATTATAATTTTTTGTCATTATTTTGTTTTTATTCACTTATTTATTTTACATTTATTTATTTATTTGTTTTTGAATATTAAAAACATGTACTGGAGAAAACATGTCTTCAAGGACACTCGGGAATAATAACTTTTCTCGAATTGACTAGTTAATTAATTATAATAATTATATTTTAATTTAGTTATTAATTGCTAAAAAATAGGTTTCTCATTCTTTTTTTATTGAAAAAATTAAAAATCGAGAGCAAATAATTGAAATTACTTTTCGCGAATTAATTTATTAACAATTAAAACATGTTTCTCCTTGTCAAAAAATAAATACAAAATGGAATTAATTGACTAATAATCAATCAGTTGATTTATTTGGTCATTTATTTGCAAAAAAATGACGAGTAATTAACGCGATAATTCATAATAATTTTTAGTGATTCGCAAGTGGAAATTTTGGAAAATTCTGTCAATGAAGATTTTTTTATGGCAATTATTTCTAAATTGATGCGTGTACGTGTAGATTGTTTAATGGAGGTAATTTTCCACGTTGTCAATATACTTTTCAAGTTTCGAGGGACTTCAATCTCGGACTTTGAGTTGACGCTTCTGTCACGTTTCCAGGATCCCAGTTGAATTCCAAGATTCAATTAGAGAACTCTTTGAACTTTGAGGACCGTAGAATATATCCAAATGAAATGAAGAAATTAGAGTTGTCAGACGATTAAAATAGATTATGTCATGTAAAAATATTAAATAAATAAAAAAATTCAAGTTTCTCTTCTTAGCCGAATACATTTCAAATAGTTAAATACCAAACTCGAAATTATTGACAATTTACGTAAATAAAATATTTTCCATTTACAGACTTATTTAAAAAATTGACAAAAAGATTTTGTTAAAAAAAATCGAACTTTGGAATGAATAATGAACAACCGTCGATAAAATAATTGTTCTGTGCCTCAAAATCCATAAAATCATTCTATCGAATGTCCCGCCAGAGGCGCTCATAAAAAATTTCCACCATTTCCCGAATAAACAAATGAACTTCAGTCGATTTTCTCCCTAATTTATTGTTTAAAAAGGCAGTAAAGTGTATCAGAATGTCAATAAATAAACATTTCCCTGGAAATTATAATAATTATCGATAAGATCAATCGACTATTAATAAAACAGTTTATCCCTCAAAATCCATAACATTCTTCGAATTTCCCGCCAGAGGCGCTGACAATTCTCAATTTTTCCTGAATTTTCCAATACTTTGCCAATAAAAAAAAACTTCCGTCTATTTTTCCCATAATTTATCGTTTAAAATCCCAATGAAATGTATCAGAAGATGGAAAAATCACCATTTCCCCTGAAATTGTAATAATCATCGATAACAACAATCGACAGTTGATAAAATATCCATAACACTTTTCAAATTTCCCGCGAGAGGCGCTGACAAAAATTTTCCACCACTTCCCCAATAAACAAATCAACTTCACACATTTCCCACAATTTATTGTTTAAAGAGGCAGTGAAGTGCATCAGAATGTGAATAAATAAACATTTCCCTTGACATTGCAATAATAATCGACTCGACAGTCGATAAAACAGCTGTTCCAACTAAAATAAAAACGAGTGAATCTTCAAGTGTTGAGTGTCGCTGGTTTTTACAAGGCATCGTGGACCTCTAGTTTCTCCCCAGAAAGTGATTTTCCTTGTTAGTTTCATCCTTCTTTCGTTTTCAAACTACCTGATGGAAAAAAAGAGACAAAAACACACATTGGTGTATATAAAAGTAACCAACTGACTAAATGTTTCAGTGTTGGTCGGTTCTCCAGTGCTGACAGTGACTTTTCCATTTCCCCAATAACAATGAAATAAATTCTAAACCCAAAATCCAGATCAAACACACATCCAATATTCACCCAATACTTAATCCTCAATTATGATAATAAAATGAAACACGTGCTGGTGATATTTTATTAATTATTCTCATTACCCTCTTGTGACATGACTGTCGTCAGCAGTCGAGTGAAGTTATTCGTTTTATAGATAAAAACAAATAAATCATCGGATTTATAAAAAGGAAATCTCATAGAATTCACAAAGAGGTGAGGCATCACATCATATGATTATTAATTTCTACTCCTTTGTTATTAAATAATTTTTTATTTAATTATCACGTTGAATTCCTCTCAAGGCTCATCGAAAGTTCTTTACCCTCCGGGAATTCCTCATCTTCTCTTTTAAATAAAGGAAATATCTCTCCTGTTTGTCAAGGTGAATCACTCATCAATTAATAGTTTTTCCCAAGATGATTCATGTCCTGATGAATTTATTTATCCGGTTGGAGTCTAGGATTTGTCCATTGGGTGTTTTTTTTCTTCTTTTTGACACGTTAACCTACTCCAATCCCTTGGGGTCAATATAAATGTTTCGATGAGGCAATTGCAACTGAAAATAAGTTTTGATTTATTTGTAGATAGCGGAGTTCATAATGACACGTGTAACTCATACTGGGGTTATACTTTCGTTGATCTCATTGATGGAAGAACAATTAGAATGATTGAGGGGAATTTCAAGTACTGGAGATAACTTGAGCTTTCAAGATTAAAATCCGAAGGCTTGTCGAATCAATTCTCAGTCTTTCTGTCCGAATACATTCAAGTACAGTATTATTTATAACAATTATTTTTAATGTTGATAATCACGTGGTTTTATTGAAAACTCAAGTTTTTCTGATGGGAAATGAATAAATAAATTTATGGTTCTGGAGATTTGAAGGGTAAATTATTGTCTCGAGAAATGAGTAGATAAAATTGCATGAATTATTGAGGATGAATTATTTTTATTTATTGATTTGTTTTTGTTGCTGTCAACGGTTTTAGAATTTTCATGGATTTCTTTAGGTTTCTTTAAACAATTATCGATGGCACATAATATTATTTGTAACGGTTATTTTCACAGTGGAAAATTATTAATTTTTATGAAAATCTCTATTTTTTCAGTTGGAAAATAAATCAATAAATTTTGGTTTCTGGGTATTAAGAGTCAATTATTATTTTAAAAAATAACTAGAGAACTTTGATGAATTCTAAATAATTAATGATTTTTGTTTATTGATTTATTGTTGTTGCTGTCAACGATTTTACAATTTTCATAATTTTTTTATGTTTCTTCAAGCAATGATCGATCGCTAAAAATAGTTTATAACAAAAGTTTATAACAATTATTTCCACAGTAGAAAAGGATTAATTTGTCAAAATCTCGATTCAACAATTTTCATGGATTTTTGATGTTTCTTTAAACAATGATCGATAGCAAGTCTTTGAATGATTGTTTTCATCAAAATTGTTTAAAGAGAATGAGTGATAAGAGCGAGTCAGTAAAGCAGGCCAATTGAGTTTGCGATAATGACGGATCCTCTGGTCAATTGCCAAGACCCAACCATTAATATTGAGAATGATAAAATTTAAACTAGATTTTAGCATCTGATAGCAAGTGATAACGATGAGTTTAGATTGATCGGGGGAGAATTCGTCTTGAAGATTACGGAATTGTGAAGAATATTGGAGGTACCGATTTTCTATTGAGGTGATAAGAGTGATAAAATACATATTCCCCTTCATACACTCCAATTAGAAAATTTATCGTTGGCATCTCGTTAGAAAAACTATGACTATTTCGATGAAATTTCGTTGTTTTAAATTTTAGTTGTTAGAATTCACAGATAACGCAAAAAACGGGATTATTTAATAAAATATGCGGTATTTTATGGGATATTCTAAGGAAAATTCTATGTATTTTTTCTGCGGTAAATCCTGTCGAAAATTAATTAAAGAAGTCGTTAAAATCTCGAGACTGCGTGTTAAACCATTTGGATTTGATTGAAAATTATGTGGAATGTTTGAACGATTTTATGATCAAATGAGTCGTAAAAAATGGAAATCGTCTCTGATTTGTAGAATTTACTAGAGAATATCGACATTTTTTAAAGGATTGTGGGGGATCCGAGCAAAATGGGACGCGGGGGAAAAATGGGAGACAGGATAAAATGGAATGCGGGTAAAATGGGAGACGAGGGGAAAAAGCGATCGTAACAATCCAGTATTCAACATTGCAGTTTTTCCAGAATTTTATTACACTTGACTGATAAAAAAATCGTTAATTTCCATATAAGAAATCGCAGGATTAAAAAAATGAGCGAGTTGAGATGAATGGCGTATTATTTGAAAATGTTGAAAAATAAAAAAAATCAAAACAACAGTTTAATTGAAAGAAAAAATTAAATTTGCAAAAAACACTAGGACACTTAGATTGTCTCCAAAATTTTTTGGTGGAAAAAAGAAATTACTGGGAATAAGTTAAAAAAACTTTTCCACAAGTTTTCCATTTTGTCCTCTTCATTATATTTCCATGAAACAAGACTCGAATCTCTACAGAAGTTTTACAATGGAACTCCTAGGAGATAAATGAACTTATCTGCTTTCGGCACTTTGACCTTCTGACTTTCATCCAAGATTTCTGAAAAAAAAATTTTCCAAACAACCGGAGACGCCTGAAAACACCAGACACCTAGCAGGTGATCAAATTCCTTGTAAAAACATCAGATTATTTTTGTTTATAGTCGAAATATATTGAAAAATCCCATGAAATAACATGGGAGATAAACAACTCAACACTGAACTTGAGATTGTTTTTATCGCAGTCATTAATTCAGTGAGGAAGTGGTGAGAGTTCGAGGGGAAATTGTAGTGGTAATTATTTAATTATCTCGGTAATGAGGGATTTTAAAGAATTCTTTCGCTGTCTTCAACGTTCGGTTTTGCTTCTGAAATGAAACCACGGTGTCTTTCGATTATTTATTATTATTAATTGTGCAAATTTTCATGTCTGGATGATTAACTTTGGAGTAGAGTCTTCATATAATTTTTTAATTGAAGCATATCAATATTTTCACGCGAAATTGCGGATTTTTTTGGTCAGAACTAATTTTCTGTTAGAAAATACGCAAATTGGAAAATTCGTTGCAGTGCTGATCGTTGGTTCAATGTCGGTGCAAGGTTGGCCCAAGGTTGATCCAACATTGGTACAAGATTGGCTCAATGTCGGTTCAAGGTTGACCCAATGTCGGTTCAATGTTAGTTCAAGGTTGACTCAGTGTCTATTCAATGCTGGTCCAAGGTTATCTCAAGGTTGGCGCAGTGTCGGTTCAATGTCGGTCCAAGGTTGCCTCAATGTTTTACATTGAGAATTACTTTTGTAGTATTATTGATTATTTATTTCTAATTTCTTCCTACATTGGGAATATCAGGAGAAATCGTAACCAATATCTCACATGTTGAATTCACAATTTTCCTTGATTTCAGGTTGAACAATGGGTCGTTACACAGGGAAAAAATGTCGTTTATTAACAATGCTGTGGTTAACAGCATTTTTCTTCTTGGTAGAAGTGATCGTCGGTTACGTAACAAATTCCATGGCACTTGTTGCTGATAGTTTTCACATGCTGTCGGATGTAGCAGCTCTGGTAGTTGCATTTCTCTCTGTCAAGGTAATTATTCAATCTGTCCAAAGCATTAAATCAATTCTATCCAACTCTAAACAATTCAGAGTCGATGCAATGGATGAGAATTTTATGGGATGATCATTTATTTCAGATGTCCCCGAAAAAATGGTCGAAGAATACGTTTGGCTGGGCTAGAGCTGAAGTGCTTGGAGCACTGGTGAATGCAGTATTTCTCGTTGCTCTGTGCTTCAGTATAACCGTTGAAGCTTGTAAAAGATTCATCGAACCGGAGGACATACACAAGCCTGAGTGGCTCATTGCTGTTGGTACTCTTGGACTCTTTGTCAACCTGATTGGTCTCTGTTTATTCCACGGTAAATACATCTTTCATAAATACGAAAATATATCTCACATTATCATCTTCTATTATCTCAATCTGATCAGAATCGCCTGGGAATTACTCAACTGGAGAAATACCTCTTGAATAAATGTATACTATTTTCAAGTAAATGGATCCTTGGCAAAAATATTTCTTTTCTCAGTGTATCCTTCTGCGAGAGGCATGCACTGTGACAAAAAAGATTTTCTCAAGGATTCATGAACTTGAGAGAAGTATGTATTTTCATAAAAATTTTATTAATTGTTAATGACGGTGATCATATTGCTCTAGAGGATGGGTATGTTGGTAATGACCTTGAATAAACTCGATCGATAATTATGCATATTAAAGAATGTCGTCAACTTCTTATAACAAAATTCTGTAGTTTAAGAAAATGAATAATAATCAGTTTATTCAACGAAAAAATACACATTATCATCCTCTGAAGCATTATGATGATTATTATCTTTATTTATTCTACTGCGAGGAGATCTTCAATTTATATGCAGCTCTCCTACGAAATCCCTTGCCAATTCCGTCCAAAAGGTCTCTTTGTACAATTCCGATTTCTTTGACAGTTATTTCCGTATTACAAAAAAATGATTACAAAAAAGAGATTACAAAGAATTCTATTGGTTCCCCCAATTTTTAATTAAAATCAAGAAATAAAATAAATAAATAAATGAATAATAAATTTAAAAGAAAATAAAATATAATAAAATAATAAATATAAAATATTTCGACGAAATATTTTTTCTTCTACGAATGGAAATTTTTGAGTTGTTTCGTGGAAATTTTAATACTCGGAAAAAAAAAGTAAATTGAATATCGGTATAGGAATATAGAAGCTACAAATTTAAAGAATGGAAGCTTCTGATATTTCTATATTTATTTCAGAGAGATTTTGAATTTTGGATGCAGTGGATGCGTTTTAGTGTGTACTCTCCAAATAATTAATTCCGAATGATTATTTTTTTATCTGAGTGTATTTAATATCGATAACAATTCACGGGCTAATTTGGGTTTAATATTTTTATCGTCCTCGAATCACATTCTCAAATGCATAAAAAAAAATTGTTTTTAGAATGAAATTTATCTCCTGTAATTTAAACGATTCCGAAAAGAACTAGTTACCATTTAATTTGGAATTTAATTAATTTCTATTTTGTTTAAGGTTGTTGTCGCGCGACAGTCTCTGTAAAAAGTTTATCCGCTGTAAAACGGGCCAGTTTAGAACACAATCTTTTAGCGGTATATAGTCTCACTTGATTGATTGCATTGTGCATGGATAGCTAAAGCATAACTATATATTTTCCATATTAACTATTTTCAATTATATAAATTTATGAGTTTCCGATAATTATATTCCGTAAACCAAACGGTCAATCGATTTGATTTTTTTTTCTGTATTTCCTCCCACGATGTATATTCCACGTTTTTTTTTATTTCTGAAACTGTCGAGCCGTTGATTTTTAAAAAATTCTAATCGGCAAAACTCCATTTAAACACGTGTTAAATCACTCGAATTTCAAAAATTTATATCTCAAGTTCAAAACGGTCAATTGCAAACGGAAAAGGCTCATTTTGTTGCTAATTTTTCAAACTATTCACCATAAAATTTTTAACGAAAACAGTCGAAAAAAAATTCTACGAGACAACAACCTTAATTTCTACTCTTCTTTTTCTTTGTATTTTACATAGATTCGAAGTTTCTAAATGTTCTTAAATACTGCAAAAGATAATTGATACAGTTTGAGAGATTACGACCCAGCCAAAATTAGTATATTTCACGCCTAGGACGGAAAAGGGAATCTGACGAATGCGACTTTATGGTCCGAGTCGGAGACGAGGATTATAACGCGCATGAGTCAGAATCACTTTTTCCGCCGATGCTATTTTATGTCATTGTGGCCGAAAACGCGTTTTTATCCGAGCGAAGGGAGGTTAGAAACGCGTTTTACCGGCCGCAATAACATAAAATAATTATTGTTTTCAAAATAATCAAAAACTGTAAAAAGCTGAATAGGTGATAACTGGCAATATAAAAACAGAGATAAATGCTCACGCCGAAAAAACCGTTAAATTACGACGCTAAAGAATCGTAATCATATAGCTTTTTTTATCGAAAAAATCCCAGAAAAGAATATGAAAATTATTCATATTCTATGATTAAATGAAAGAATCTGTTGTCCCCAGACCATCACCACAGAGATCGCCTCCCAAACCGCGAAGAACCAGAATTTCCATCCACTTCCCCCATTTCCTGTCACTGCAATTTACCTTCGACTTCTTATGTAGGTCAGAAAATCCTTGATACATAAAAAAAAAGCAGCGATTTGTTGAAAGAAATATCGGAAGTGCAAAGCATTGTTGCAATTGAACTTTTATTATTTTTAGAACACGGGAATTCTCATGGTCATACGCATGGAATTTCTCGTAGTCACAACAGACTGAGTACTTTGGTATGTGATGATAATGAAAATGATGAGGCATATCGACCATCGTCACCACCACCACCACCACCTCCACCGATCAAAAAATCCCATGGCCATAGCCATGATCCCAGTCAGATGAATATGCGAGGAGTATTTTTACATGTACTCTCCGATGCTCTTGGATCTGTTATTGTTATTATTTCAGCAGCAATTGTGCAGTTTACTACATGGGAAGGAAGGTAAATATATTTTGAATCATAATATTAAATAGTTATCATGCTAGTCCACATTTGTAATTAAATGATTTGTCGCCCCAACCTCTTTTTTTTTCTTCAGGTCTTAGGGTAATTTCTCTCTTCATTTAAAATAATGCGCCTAAATATCTCCCAATGGAGGATATTGACTGTCAAATTTTTGGGAATATTAGCTACTGGGTTGAATTATTTTTGAGCTTTCAGGGTCATGCTTCTAAACTGCAAGCACAAGGACATTCTTTTCAATTGGCAATTGTATTTATCAACTCTCTGGAACGTGTTCTCCTTGATGATTTGTTTTCAGATACATCATCATTCATGTGAATTCCTTCGATTTTACTGGACGAACGGGACGAAAATGAATTTTAGTATCAAACTAAAGACCTAGATTTTTTTAGCACGAAAGATCGTCCCGCGCGCCTGCGCGCGTATTTGAAACGATTTCGGTAAGAGAGTTACGACTTTGTAATCTCGCGCCACTTTAGGCGGACCAATAAGGAACCGTGGCTGCATGATTTCGAGATTTTCGAGATAATCGATTGTGTCAAGCATGTCCTTTTTAGAATAGGATGTAAGAGAGTTAGGACTTCGTAATCTCGCGCCACTTTAGACGAACCAATAAGGAATCGTGCCTGCATGATTTCGAGATTTTCGAGGTAATCGATTGTGTCAAGCGTGTCCCTTTTACAATAGGATGTAAGAGAGTTACGACTTTGTAATCTCGCGCCACTCTAGGCGGACCAATGAGAAATCATGGCTTCGATCGAATCATGATTTCGAGATTTTCGAGATAATCGATTGTGTCAAGGGTGTCCCTTTTAGAATAGGAAGAATAGGATGACCCAGGATGCACCACGTGGAGGTAATGTCTGCTCACATCTCTGTGCTGAAAAATCTGTGAAAAAATGGCGCAAACATGTGTGGAAGTTCATGAGTTGTTCGAGGTTCCCCCGTTGACTTCCAAGCACAACTCAATTCGGCGGTGACAATTTCCAACAATCAAGAACTTGGGGCGCAATGCTTGCAATAGCATGGCCATATCGGGGTGTTCGGCCCATTCACGTAAATAACATCTTTGATAAAACCCCACAAGTAGTAATCAAGTGACGTAAGATCTGGTGGTCGTCGAGACCATGGAATGCGAAGACCCCGACCAATCCAACGAGTTGAGAAGGCACACTTCAGATGATTCCTCATAGCTCGAGCCAAAGCTTAAAAAAATGCGTACATCAAATGTTCCATTTGGTTCCCTACAAATCTCTAAAAATATGTCTCTAAAAATTTCCTGTCAGTTGGCCCCATTAAGAGATATTTAGGTGCATTGCCTTAAATGGGAGACCCTATATGGTGTGTACTGATTTAAAAGCCCATTTAATACGTTTCAAAAAAATACGTGAAACAT